GGGTAAAGTGCAGGCTGTATACCAGGGATAAAATGTTGACTGAGGGTGAAATGCAGGCTGTAGACCAGGAGTAAAATGTTGACTGCGGGTAAAGTGCAGACTGCAGACCAGGGATAAAATGTTGACTGAGGGTAAAGTGCAGACTGCAGACCAGTGGTAAAATGTTGACTGAAGGTAAAGTGTAGACTGCAGACCAGGGGTAAAATATTGAGTGAGGGTAAAATGCAGACCTCAGACCAGGGATACAATCAAGACTGCAAACATTTTACAATGTTTGTAGTTTTGTTACCTTGCAAAAGTCACAGAGAGATTCCCTTCTCTTCCTGCTCTGTGAGAGACAAGAAAGAACTTCTGTTTGCAATTGCTTTGATTAGCTGCTGCCCACAACCAGGGATGAATAAATTAAAAATACTGGTTTTTGACAAGTTTTAACCGGTTTATGACTTGACAGTATCTGCTGCACTGTGACTGGCTACAAAATTACTATTGGCATGACAATGCTGCACTGCCATGGGTTCATCATGTCCATCTAGTATGCATCAAATTCAAAACTTTTGTCCAATGAACAACATGCCATCGCTTTTATATACCCTGTAATGGAAACCCATTATGGTTTAATATGACTGAAGGTCTAACACTCAGTACTTTTTTAGACCTCAAGTTGCTTTAGAATGTATGTAAAATGATGGCAGTCACAGTTTGAGCTATGTCCTGTTTGAACTCTATCAACATAATTATGGGCATAGGTGATAGTCTTTTTTGCATCCCCTGTGGGTGAAATGAAGGCGCTAGGAGATGGCTTCCATTTCAGCGAAAACAACGGTTAACAATACATGCATACCACTGACAGTTGACTGTTATACTATCGACAGTTCACTGATATGCTGCCGACTGTTGATTATAATGTACTGGTCAGGGTGTTAGACCAGTGTCAACTAACATACTGACCAAGTGTTGACCAATAGTGGTGACTAATGGTCTACCAGCTTGTATAACATGGCGACTGACACTCAGTCAACTTATTGACCAGGTATCAGCCGATATATTGACCGACACTTGGTTGGCATGTCATCCAACACATGTCAACTGACAGTGTCGGCTGATACTCGGCTAGCCTGCGAGCAGGCTCACCTTGGAGTCATGAATACTTGGCCTACAGATAGTACACATGATCTGTTTTGTGCCCTATTTACATTACCCCTCATCACCACAGAACAAAATGGCGTAGACAAAAAAGGTGCGTCAAGTAAATAACTGTTAACACCTGCGAGTCTTATTGTTTGCCTTGGCTTTTCCCTTTCAGTGGTGAAACTACAGAGAACAAGACTGATGTTATTCAAGGTAAAAGGCTTTATGTAAAAATGATATGGACACTTTAGGAAGTTCACATCAATGAATCATATTAGTGGTGAAATGATTTGAATAATTTCTCAAACTCTTAGAAAAAAGAAAAATTGCTTCAAGAAATTGGGAGTTTAAAATATCAGGGGAAAAACTACAGTGGAATAAATCCAAGGGGAATACTGGGGAATATAATAAGGGGGACTGAGGGGATATAATTATTGCATCAGCCATTTAGTGCACATGAAAATGCATTATTTTGTTTGGTAACCTGAAGAATAACATGTTCACATAAATCTAAGAAAATGGATTTTGTCATTAAGCCAGCCCTATATAACAAGCAACATTTAAAGTAAGTGATTACAAATTAATATTATTTTTTAGGGCAGACAGACACATTATTGAATGATGAAGGTATTGAACAAGCAAAGCTTGCTGGAAACAAATTATGCGATGAAGACTTCTCTCATGTTTTCTCCAGTGACTTACAGAGAGCTTTTAAGGTGAGTGATTAATTGAGCAGGGTCCCTTCTAGTGAACCTGCTATCAAGGTAGGGGCAGAGAGAGCAAGAAGGGGCAGTGTTGTTCTTACAACATCCATGCATGAATGGTGGTCAGCTTGTCCAAAAAAATGAGCACAATGGCACTGTGTCAAGGAGCAGTAATTGCAAGAGCCTGTTTGGAATTTGTTCCTCTACTCTTGAAACAGAGTTACACCTTTACTTTGACACTGACAGGACCAATAGCTGAGGCTCACAAGGAATGACACTATTTCACTTTGGACTGGGAAAACAAGGATTTTGGTTAGTTTGGGTGTAGTAACTCAACTTGGGTTCTTGCAGCTGTAAGACCCTTTGGAGTAGAAAGGTTTACAATTCTTGTATAAAAGATAATTATAGCTCTTCCCTAAGTAGTGCTGTAACCCATATCTCTGTTAGGCTGATTACTTTTTTGGACAACGATTTTGACTAAGGTAATGCTATGACCCATTTGTTTGCCAATATGTACGAGAAAGCTAAATTCACTTAAGGCATACAGGGGGAAATTCTAGCTGCCCCAGGCTGAGGGTTGTGATTTTACTGCAGTGTACTTTACTGTTTAGACTTGGTACTTTAATTTGTTTTTGCTCAATTTAGACTGCAGAGGAGATTGTCAAGAAAAACAATTTCTGCTCTCACAAGAAAATTGTGGAGGATTCTCGTCTAAGGGAACGAGTGAGTATGACCAAACGTAGCTGACCCAGGGTAGGGGGGAAGGGGGTGAATCTCTTCAAGACAGTAACAGGGATGCTTGTTCTACGTGTTTTAGGTTGGTGGATCTTTAGGGCGTTATATTCAATTTGTTAGTCTACAGTTTATACATGGTTACTGTTTTAACCTTTCAGGTGCACGTTTTGTACAGTTTTGCTATAGTTACAAGACTGGTCAAGTTAATTAGAACAAGAATTTATTTAAAAAGTCGTCATCACTTTACATACAGGCATGATTTAATAATGCTTAGAACAAAAATTAGTTCAAGAAAAATTGATTGGACAGTTTTGACAATTTTATGTTAGATCAAGGTAATATGCTCAAGTATATTGCTTTCTGATCTCATTTCTTTTGCTGACTGTCAAGTAAGAAAGTACCGGTAAGAGTTTAATGTGAAGTGTCAAAATTTTAAACTTTGTTTGTATTGTTAAGAAACAAAAGTTTTTGTATGACAAAACAAATCTTTGTCCATTTTTTAGTGCTATGGTGTGGCAGAAGGAGTATCAAAACAGACGTTTATTCAAATGGCAGCTAATAACAGCATGAAACCAGGTGTTTTTACTCCGAAAGGGGCAGAAACCCTTCAAGAAGTCAAGGAAAGAGCAACAGAATTCTTGAACTTCATCATAGAAGAAATAGGACACTCACACATCGACATCAACAACTGTTCTAGTCACACCCAGACTGACAATTTCATTAGTAGTGAAATTATTGATGACTTGCAAGGCTCAGCATGTGAAATGCTTGAAAAACAAAAGCAGCAATCCCATTTAGCCAATGTTCTGATTGTTTCTCATGGTGGTGTTATACGGCAGTTGCTGCTCTACTTTGTTGATGATTTAGAATCTGATTTTCCAATTGGAGCCAACAGGCAACTCAGATTTGTATCACCAAACACTGGCATTTCAAAGTTAAAAATCTTTATAAATGAGGAAACAAAATTACCTGAATTTGTTAAGTGCATCTATTTACATAGTACAGAACATCTTGCAAAAGATGAAGGTTCTAAATGAAATTTCTTTAATTGTTTTAATCTATTTAAATCATAAGACTTTGTTTGGCTCTGAATTTTGTTTTTTATGAGATGTAATGATACGCAGCCAAAATTAAGTCTGTTTCACCAAAATGGGTATTTATTACTTTTGCTCGATATATTTGAATTTAGTGTGGAAATATTAGTTATTCATTATGCCATCCCCATAAAGCGTTTTGCTTCCATCCCCCTCTCTTTTGTAAAAGTGAGTCTGTCAGTTGGTAAAGGTAGTAGATAAGCTGACGAAAGAGGCATTGACAAATTAACAATTTATTAATTCAATGAGCCTCGATTGTATCTTCCCCATGACTGCCATTTTACATTGGAGCCACCTTCACTCTGACAAAAAGGCAGTCTCAAACTCATGAATAATTCATTAACTTTAAACAAAGGAAATCTTGACCGTGATGGTGTTTGGATAACTGATCTAATTAGCATAGATTTTTTTACGATTTTATTTCTCTGTTTTCTCCTTAGTTTTAGTTTTGATTGAGAAGATATATCAAACACTTGAGACAGTGTTTGACCACATTTCCAATCACCTTGAAGTTTGTCAAAAATACACCACTACGCATCACATTTTTCAACACTCCCCTCAGTGTTTGGAAATGTGGTCAAGCACAGTCCCTCATGTTTGATATATTACTTCAAAGATGTTGTTCAAGGGTTACCTTAGATGTCAATCACTTGCAGATGTATAATATGAGGTGTATTAAACTTGGCAACTCAATGAAACGGGAGCAAGCAATGAATCTAAAACACTTTTATTTTTGCCTTGTTTATAAAAAATACTGGGTCAGCCATTGATGGGAAAGGGGATGGCCTTATTGATGAAAATTTGAATTAAAAACATTATGTATTTTGGTTAAAAAAAGGAATAAAAACGTTTTTCAAACTACAGTTTAACTTCACAGCTTTTTTCTTAAATTAAGCTATAGCTGCTTTTCTCTACACCAACTGGCAAGGGGCAGAAATTGCTGCCTACCATAGATGAGATGGCCTGCCAACTACTCATGCGAGTAAGTGTCATTGTTCGAATGTCCTCATTGTAATATTGTACAATGTAGGTTAAGGACTTCAGTCCTGTATTATATTTACTGAAACTATTAGACTGCACAATCCCACATTTGCTATGAGCAACTGTGAACTCCACTGTACCTTGTTGAATTGTGGAAAACTTGGGCTCCAAGTTAAATGCTATTTTTGTAATAGCACACATTACGTGCTTATGTTTTTGGGGGCTGAGCCATCTCTGGATATTGACAGACACTGAATGTTTACTGCCAAAATAACTTTTGAATAAAGAAATTAGAGACAACATGTATTGAAGGAAATTTTTAATGTCTAATATATATATTTATACTGTATAGTGCCATATGTTACATTACTTTGTTCACTATAACAACATTAACAATATAATAAGTAAAACCCACCTCTAAACATCTAGGCTAACTATATATTTTTGAAACCTTTTTTTATATTTTTTCATTCATGAAGACTGTTCCTATTTCACCACAAATATACAAAAATATGGTGCATCTCTTTTAAAGGTACTGACCATAAAAACTAGCAATCATGAGCTATTTCACTCTAACAGCAAAAGAAAGACAAAGACAAGACAAATTTGTGCTTGCAATTTTCAAGACTGGGTTACACTTATCACAAGATGACGGTCTCTTTCTCAAAAGATTCAAAATAGTATCATTTTGTTTTTGTCTTAAAATAAGCGCTATTACATATTTTGAAGTTTAGGAATATAGGAAATCAGACTAAACTGTGATAACAATGTATGCGAAAACTGAATCAGAAGTGCAAAGTTAATTTATGTGCATGTTTATTAGCATGGAGAAATATCAAGGCTTAAAAAAACTGTCCAAGATAAATGTACCTCTGATAGCTCAGTCTTTGAATAGAACTACAGAACAACAGCATCCTGGACAGTCATGGTGTATTAGCAGTGGAAATAGGCAGAATTGGAATACTGGTACCTCATTACAATGTTCCATTCCCCTTGGTACTTAAGCTCCCTAATACGAAGCAATTTACATGTTCAGCACAGTTAGGCTGTGCTGTATGGGTTAAATGTGTAAAAATCTTTATTTCAAAAAAATACTAACTACAAAACAGCATCAGTGTTACATCAACTTTCTACTACTGTTTTTGAATGATTTAGTAACAGTTTGTATACATTTCATGATGCATATAAAACAGTCTGTAGAAATAAACCACTTGTCTAGTAACTATTATAAAGTAGTTAGCATCATGAAAATGTAATCACACTCTGACAAGATAAACACTTGCACCTTTGTATGACCCAGTGGCTGTTTAAGAAACTTGATTAAAAGATTACTGACAAGGGGATGGTTGGTTGTTTTGAAGAGAAGCCCCTAAAACATATCCATTTTAAAAATCATTTACCCGATGAAAAAGTCATGACAAAGCTTCCAAATCTGTCAATAGCTTTCTTGCACTTTCCTGCCACTATTGTACTTTTATACCAGCCAGGGGTTAATACTCTGAGAAACAGTTCTTGACTAGTGGCCATGTATGTGGTTGACCAATTGTACTTTAGTGAGAAGACGTGCCAAGTATTTATTTTTTTACAAAGATTCTAGTTGTGTAAGTGCTCAATATTTTAGTTATGTAAAGGTGATCTGAAAGACTTCAAAATTTATCGTTTTAAATGCGCTCCTGCATTTCTGACTGCTTCATACTTTAACTCTATTCACATATGTCTGGTTAATTTTAATTTTTTAGTGCTAAAAACAAGGAAATGAACTAAGTGGGAAGACAGAAACCTGTTTGTCTTTGTAATACCTGAGTTATGTGCCTAAATCATGTCCAATTACTGTCACTACTGTAAGCTGTGGCCATTTAATCAATATCAACCAATCACTAAAAGCTTTGTTTTCATTCTGTAGTGTGACTTGTCTGTGCTTTTTGCATGGCTATGGTTGCTAATGTAGCATAGTATTTAATTTTCTGTATGTAACTCACAACAACTCTTGTAAAGCAATATAAGATATGCATGTACATATAGGAGAGATCGGTGTTATTTTTAAAATAACTTTAGTCTTTCACTAATCGGTAAATATGATGCTGTGCTCCATGTTCACTTGTTGACACTTCAAACACATAAGCCAGACACAGCAAGGTTTCTTGTGTTTCCCTGTTTGACAACACCTACATGAATAAACAGAGTAATGAGCATTATTTATTTTTAACATCAAGACAAAATTTAGTGACTTAAATAGATAACTGGAAAATACCCGTGTGAGATTATACATGACAGAAAATTGTTATGCTACACTGGAAAGTTTTCCGAGAGTGTTATGAAATCTGTGAATTTTTTATTGCAATTAGCAGAATATTACTCATGCATGATGCCTCTGATTCATTAATTTACCGTTCTGCAAGGAAGAGTGAGGACTGGGAACTTCCCACTACTACTGTTAATACTAAGGGTAGGATCACCAGCTAATTCACATGCCTTACAGGAGCATTGTACAATATGGTCAGGGCTGTCCCTCAGTTTTGATTCACCCATAGCCTCGATGTTCACACCCATATAACAAACTTGTTACATTTTGGGTGAATTGTACCAATTACAGCCAAGTTCACCTGTAACATCAATGGCCCAGCAAACAAACTCAGCTGTAGCATGTGTTATGGGTTAGACCCTTTTTGACAGCTCTGATGGTCCAATATATTTGTACCCTTCCCATGTATTATGTGCTAGCTTTCCCATGGCACAGACTAGGAATTAAACAAAGGAACCAACTGAGAGAAACTTAAAAGAGAAAGTACAAATATACCCTGGGTAATAACGATTACAGGATTCCCTTAAAGTTCCCCTCAAATTGTTTGTAATTCTCTGGATTTTAATACTTCAAACTCTCTCAGACCTATTCCTACAACTTAAAAAAAAAAAAATTTGAGTCTCTGAGAGGGCCACATACCTGCAGTATGGTGAAGTTTTCCAGTACGCTGTTCATCATGTATTTTTCAGGCAGCTGTTTGAGCTTGTGAACAAAGTTTATCATGTATTCACACATTGGAGATCTGTGAATGCGGTATACAAACCGGCTGTTTTCATAGTGACCAAATTCAGTCTGCAAGAAATAATAATTGTATAAAGGATTAAAAAAGGCATTTACTACACAAATCTCAAAAAGTAGTAACTCTTCCCCTTAGTATGTGTTCCTGCTTCTCACAGCCGAGCCCACCTAATGAAGGGTGCATTCTTTTGGGGTGATCCAGATCAGGATCACTGATCCAGATCACCCCAAAGGAATGCATCCTACAGCTTAGCACTAATTTATTCAAAGAATGCTCCAACAGTTTGGTCAATAACAACTGAAACAACTGGGTGTGAGGGACAGTGAGTAATATGATATCCAAGAGTACAAAATAGCCAAGCTGTCAGGTTCTGAAACTCATTGTCTCTAGTAACAGAAAAATATTGTCACTGTGTCTCAGAACTGGAGGATCATTTTTGGTATAGATCAATTTATTGCATTCCCAGTAAAAGAGGCAATTTTCAGTTACCAAATGTGGAATAGCCCACTTTGTTTCCAAGGCTCTCCACTTTGGCAACTCTTTTGTGACATGAACAAAAAGTCAGCTGCCCATGCTTTTAGCGGAGCCCCTTACCCATATAGGAAAGAAAAGGAAACCCATGAATTAATTTTCTCATGGTTATTATGGCTAGCAGTATTGCTCGTGGGCGCGTATGCACAATGACGACGATGGAGTCGCACAAGATGGCGGCCATACTCCAGCTAAAAAAAACATGCAGCCTTGATTTACAGCCTCCTCCTTTGATTTTGGACATCCATATTATGGTCAACTGACACCTGTCAAAACAAGGTATCTGCTGACCAGTATCATGTGACCATATCGTGGGCTAAAGTTTAAAGCTCATCGAGGTCACGTGTTTTTTAAAGGTTGACCACTGACCAAATGCTGGTTTTCTATTGGATTGCGGGCTCACGTCAGATTAACTTGTTTTAAACGGGGCGGGGTTGCTCGGAAGCCGGTTAATGCTAACCCAGGATTAAAGTTAACAGAAGTATAAATAGTTCTTGTATATAAATGCTTTTCACTGCTTTTGTTTTGTGTATTTTGAGATTATTCAAACTCAAAACAGAAGGCCAAACAATATACAGAAATCCTCAAGCTCACTGCAAAGTTACAAAATTCAAATCAAAGTTCTTGCTTAAGCTGGGTTATCTTAACCGGGCTTTGAACAACCTGGCCCAGGAGCTCTGCTTTTAGGCTTGGCTAAATCTATATATTACTTACAACCCCCATTCTAATATAAACACTCTACTTTTATTATCATAGTGAGACTTTAATTGCACATTCTAAGGGTGACTGATTATGATTCCACATTTCATCCTACCTCCACTTTCTCTACAACTTGTTTTCCAAATGAGCAAACTTTAGTGGAACACGTAATTGTCATATTTTCATTTGACTCATACCTGGGGTGTACAAAAATTCAAGTTAATAAAACAGTGATGCAAAGAATATGTCATACTGCCAGAAGATTAAGAATAAATTTCATTCCACCACACTGCATGAGCACAGTGTATAGCCCAAGTCCACAAACACTGTGGCTTGCTGGCATGCTAGACTACTATGGAGTACTACAAACAGCACAAAATTCACCACGTAAAAAACAGAAAAAATGGACACCACCTTACGTACAGTCTGAATCTTATGAGTTGAACATAGTTTAAAACTAAAACAACTTACGTGCTTGAAACACCGTAAAATGCTCCAGCCTCATCATGAATGTTTGTGTTTAGATCCGCCTAGATTGTAAATGAGACAGTTATCATTAACAAAAAAAACAGGTCTGCCAACACTTAAGTGTAAAACTAGAAGTGGTATTGCATTGTACTGTAATTAGCGTAAAGTAGCAGCATAAGTATTGTAAGCAGTGAAAGCAAATGCAATAAATTAATTACAATAAAAGTCCAGCAACTCGAAATGAAGACATGAGATACAGTGTAAGAACACTAATAAATGTTCTCCACAAAAATTAATGAGGCTTACCCAAAATTTTACTAAGAAAAACACTGGTTGGGGTCCCTTGTCATACAACTCTTTGAGACCTCCTTTCTTTTCTGGAAACTTGTCATATATTTGGCGAATATCAACTGCCTGCAATAGAACAGAAAAAGGGCAAAAATTAGCAAACCCTCTAGTCCAATAACACTTGAGTGCAGAATGTTTTTACATGCATATCTATCTTACTGTGAAAACAATTTGCTTTTTCTTGAATTACTACTGAAAAGTACACAAACTGGACCACAAATCGACATGTTTTACTTGGGCTATACCTAAAGTAATGGACTCATCAGACTGCAAAGAAAACCTGTTTTCCGAATGTGATGTTCTACCCTGAAAGTGATTCTCACTAGCCCTCAAAAATTTCTTAGTAGCAAGGGTTTGCCCCCAGAACATCATCAGACTTCTTTAACTGATCACCAGTCCCTATGTGTACTCCTGGGTGGAGATAGGAACTGTACGAGTAAAGTGCCTTGCCTAGGTACTCAACATTGCGGCTCTGGCCAGGGATTGACACTGGTTTACTTGATCCAGAGCACAGACCTTACCACTGGGTCATTGCATCTGCCAGTGACAGAAAAAAAGTCAGCAAGAAAATAAATAAAAATGTAATATCAGACATGCTACCTCGAGATGAGGGTCGCCAAGGTCAGTGTTTGGGCCCAGGTGAACAAACAAGTGCTTGTGATACTGAAAAAGAAAGAAAATAAAAAAGACTTCTACTTAGTCCCATATTGAATGTTATCAAGCATTTAAATTCTATTTTGTCAGGTATTGTCCTGTACGTTTCGAGACTCTTGGGCCTGTAAATTAAGACGCTATTAATATACCATACAACCCAGAGTGTTTGCAGCATTTTCATGTATGTGCAAAAAAAGGACATTGAAAACTCCACTCAACACGTGTAAAATTATGTTGTAAGTTGATTATGTCTGTATTCCTTTCCCAGTCTGTTTTTTGTCAAAAAACTACATGTATCTAGAACTACATACACATATGCTTACCAGTTTCAACAATGTATAATTATGTGTAACACAAACAAAGGTTTAATTGTTTATTACAGCATATATCAAGAAGGAAAACCCCAAAATTCCACTTACAGACTCTGGGTCCATTCTTTGTTGCTCAAGGAATGCAGAGAACTCGACAAGTCGCAGTGGCTGGAATAAACAAAAAAATCCTTTAGTTATAATAATGATGACAAAAGAACGTCTATTGTGGTGACTAGAAAATCTTAAGTTTACATGTACATGTATTTTGTGCAGACAATAGCAGACTTAAGCGCTCTAACCTAACCACTAGGCCACAGTGACACCCTGGCTGAACAGGAATCAAAATTTGAGTGGTAATTTTACTTGAGAATTGAAATTAATTTGCTCTTGCTTTGTTTTTGCTTTTAATTAATATGTAAATGTAATTAGTGACTAGTTTAAAACTCTCGTGCCACTTTCTCAACCAATCAGTAGTCAATGCCAATCATGACCCACCCACACATGTTTTCCCATGCTAAATGCACTGGCTACATGTAATTACTTAATTGAATTTTGACGGCTTCCTGGAATTGTCTGTGTCCTTTGTGACTGGCTTGAGTGATTACTTTGGTTTTGGTTGTACAACACTTAAAGGGAAATCATTCTAACATTTGCACAGCATCATCAACCAGTCTTACCAGCTGATGTTCAACAGATCTTGGTGGCCATGAGGAGCTTCCATGAGCAGCAAAGGTTGGTGGTGTGGAGGACACAGTACCACTGCTGTACGAAGCACTCCTCTGAAAACATAACAAATAATTTATTAACTTAAAACTATCACACCTTACCATACACTGTACAATCAACCAACTTTTAGAGATCTATAAACTAATACATTCATGAAAGGAAAAACCCTCAATTACAGTGCAATATTATAAATATGGAATTTATACTGTGAAGTGCACAAATTCTGTAATTTTGAAAGGTCAGAAGGTGACAAAATGAACAGTTATTTGTCAAGGTAATAACTATTGCCAGTCTTCAGTTCAAAATATGAATATTACTTAACTAATTACAGATAGATTGACAGATTTTGTGATATGACAAGACAATATCGCATCTGATTATTATCTTAACCTGTCTGCTCCACAGAAATCGGATATCAACCACTCTTTTGGAATCAAGGAAATAACCAAAGAAATAGCACTCAGTGTAATGTCAGAGAAAATTGGGGGAGCTTACCATGTCTTCAGGGCTGCTAACAGCAGCTCCAGTGGGGCTTGCAACTGAGGCTGTGGAAACAACACTGCCGGGAACAGTGGCTTGGACTGACGGACTGCCATAAGGGGATTGTGAGGCACTGTTGAAACTTCCTTGCACTGGCTGACCTGTACCAGATGGCCAATATTGTTGCTAAAAGTAGATAAAATAGCCAAGGTAAAGAACCAAATATTATTAAATTGAAGTGATTAACCTTTAAGGCAACATTTAAACTTGAGTAGTGAGGGTTAGCTGGGGTTGGTAAATTTAAGGAAAAGCTAAAGTAAAAGAATGGTCACCACCAATCTACCGGTAATCTTGGGATAAAAAAGCTACATAGTAGTTGTGGATCATACCTGGCCATGGTATCCTTGGTTGTCATTGTTAAAGGCAGGCATACCAGCGGCTGCTAAAGCTTTGCTATGTAGCACTGAAGCTGACACAATCTGAGCTGATGACATTGATGCCATGGTCTGTAGGGCTTTATCACGAGCCGCTTGATCCTACATAACGTAAAAAACACATTGTTTTATTAGCTCTTAGTAATTAAGAAAACTAGATCTACATCTCAAGAAAAGAACTGAAATAAACTCCTTTGAAAAATTCTCAGTCATAGTTTCCACATTCCAGGAAAAACATTTCCAGCTTACTCATAATAACGTTTTCATGCCATAAGCCAGTGGATCCCACTGTTTTGATCTATGGTACTAATGTGAGATAAACTGAGAGAAGTGACTATATACTTAGATTGAATAAAAAGAGCAGATAGAATCTAATCAAAGTTACCTTCCATTAACTTTACACATTAAACCACAAACCTTAATTTTTGCGTGCACTTCTCTCGGTTTTCTCCTGGCTAACACCTGTATGTGACTTGAAACCTATTAATGAACACAAATAAACAAATTAACCAACCTTAAGTTTGCCTTGAATCTCTCTTGCTTTTTTCCGTGCTAAGACTTGAATGTGACTGGAAACCTAAACAAGAAATAAAATCCCAAATCATCTTACTTTGAACTAGCTGAACCTTATCAGTCCCAAAGGCGAAATATCGATTGTCCTTACAGATCTCCAGTTCTGAGAATTTGATAGCAGATCGAAGAATATTGCAGAGAAGTTGATTTTCATTGCTCTAATTGAAAGGTTTTCATATTGAAAAAAAAAAATTAGATCTCAGTTTCCACAAAGTTTTAGTGCTCACTGCCAGGTACATGCTAAAATTCTAACGCAAAAAAACTCTCAGAATGTGCATGTGCATAAACGTCTCAAAACATCTCAAAAACAGATTGAAGTAACCTTACGTGGTGCATTGAAAATTACCTTCATGCATCCAATTTTAACAACAAATTCAATTTGCGCACAAAAATCTTGAAATTGCCAATACAGCTTACTTTTGTCTCTATAACAAGTCAAGAATTGAAACAAGGCAAAGGAAGAAAAGACACTGTTGTATCCTGTGCATGCACAGACCTACAGACCTTTGTCAGCCATTAGATTGATAAAGCCAGTAGTAATCAGAAAACAAACCTTCAAACATATAACAAACAGGGTTCCCACTTATCAAGGGAACAACATTTACAAATGCCATGCTACTCTAGTACATATTCCTCGTACAAAATTGAATTTTCCCTCAATCCAAGCAAGGGACAATTTGCAAGTACTGCTTGACTTTGTCATTTTACACGTAGTTTACATTTGTAAGTTCAAACTATTTTTTTAGAATTTCCAGCGTTTGTCACTATCTACATGACTATAGTCTAGCTAAATGACCAAATGGCTGCTTCCCTATAACTGGCTAAGATTAAAGAAGTTAACAAGTAAGATTTGTACAAATGCACGTGTATTTATTTGAATGACTGCTATCAGTAATGATAATAAGACTTGGTGAGGTTCGTTCTGAGGAAGTAATTCAGGAGGAAATTTACCAACTCTATCAGCCACTGAACTGTACTTCACTCAGTAATAAAACCAATTTAATATTCAGTAACAAAATGCAAGTTTTCCAACGAGTGAGCATCCACAGGATACTCTGGTTAATAGATTGCTCAGTGAACCACATGTAAACACACCTGTATTCACAAACAGCAATGCAAAAAGAGCAAAATTAACATGGAAAGATGACTATTATTCAACGCGTATGCTGCCAGTCAGTGTGTGGCCATCAAGTGCGAAATAAGTCACATCGAGTACCAATCATATTCCAGAATTTTGTTATTTATCTGATTTTACTAACACTGCTGTAACAGTCTGAAAGCCTCTCTCTTTCCTATTGTTATGTGATATCTCATAATTACCTGTTTTCTTGTTCTTGTTTTTCCCGTTCTCAGCTTGATGTACCGAGCTATCAACTCATTTCGACCTGGTCAAAAAATGAAAAAAAGGAATTCAAAATTAATCAATCTTGATGGATACATAATTTAACGTGATCATGCTACATTAGTTGCAAAAAATTCCAGACAATGCTAATTTTGAATGAAAAAAAAGGGTCCAAAATAAAACTGTCTGAAATTTTTAAGCGTCCGAAGTGTTAAGGATCTGGAATATTCATTGTACAGTTTAAAATTTTTAAGTACCTCCAAAGCTCTCAGTTTCATTTCATGAAGTGAACTCTAGTCGAGACATGGCTTGAGATTTGAAACGGCATGATAGCTGAGTTTGTGTTATTTTCTCCCTGGTATTTCTCTTGACATCTTAAGGGGGACGGTAAAACTACAGTTTTCACAGACTTTGTTTTCAACTAATTTGATTTTCGCAGGAGTAAATTTACTAATTCGCTATGTTTCATCACAGTGTCTGAATTTTTTCTCCGAAATTTGTCCTAAATCAGATAAAAAGTGTCCACAAATTAAATGTCCAGAATTAAACATCCGATAAATTTTTGCGGGTAATGTATACCATGCCAGTCTTGCTATAAGTTAATTCTTCAGAAGAAAAAAAATAGGAAATGTTAATTCTTGTGAATGTTCCAGTATACTAACAATTCCGGTGTGTTCTATATTTATCTACTTAATATTTTCCTCAACTAGCGTGGCATACAGGTTGTTTTTCTGCTGAAATTATTGAACTGGAAAACAGAAGCAACAGTTAGCTATTCAAACTCTACCAAATCCTACCCGGTACTGTTGATTGGGATATCTTTCACTGTGGTAACCCTGCACATACAATGCGGGTAAAATTTTGGCTTTCTGCATCACTACTTAAGAGAGAATGTGCTATTGATCTGCAAATTGGTCGTAATGAGGAAAAACTGCAACAAATGGGTGAATACCTTTGATGTTTATAGGTTTCATGTATATATTAATAAATCTCACCCAAACTACACGGAGCCTTAACCAGACCCATCCAAAACAGTTGAGGTGAAATAAATGTAAAACAAACAGTTGGCAAGCAAATTGAAGTGGGTCTAACATAAAAACGGATCCGACAGAAAGAAGAATTGCCTTGAAAAAAATAAACAAACAACTGAAGCTGCTGTTCCACTCAACAAGAGAATCAATAATTGTGTAAGATCTCTGAATGGTCAGTCAGATCACTGGCTGGTTAAATGGAGCCACAGGTTGCAATCAATTTTGACATGGATTAACAATTTGGTTAATAGCCTAACATGATGTCCATTTGTTAGCATGCAAAAAACTGACTTACATCAAAACACCTGTGTAATTTATAAGCAATGACGAGCTTGAAAACATAATTCTTTTTCAAGTAGTTGGCAGTAACACCTGAAATCTTAATCTTCAATTTAATAGTTTGATTTCCAGTACAGTTGTAAAACTAAATGAACCTGCAATTTATTAACAAATGTACTGTCTGTGGTGCATATATACTGATAAAATTTTTGACTACAAACTCTATATTAATTATAAAGGTTTGCATTATATGGTTCACTAAAAAGAAAATGTTACTGGTTAAACAAATTCCCTCCCCCGAACACTTAAAACTGTAAGGCATTCTAGTTTCAAGCTCAAGTGTGCTATAAAAAAACGCAAATTCAAAAAAAAAATACCAGTCTGCTAGGAAAATGCAGATGATTTCTAGCTTTTCAACTAACTTTGTTAACACATCGTAGCAAAAATTTATTGAATCAAAATGTCTACAGAAAGAAACGAAAGTCATTGTGGGCAGAAAAAAAAACAGATTATGAGAGGTTTAACATGTTATATTTCACCAGCACTAGATTTTATAATATTCAATTAAAATTGCTCAATATACAACACGACCAAATAGTTCCATGTGGCATACTAATCAGGATAAATATTAAGGTCTTTGTTTCATGGAAGACAAAAGTTTGAAAAATTATGCCACATAAAATTTCACTTTTCGATACCATTTATAACTCAATAAACTAAGCATGCACTCTGCCAAAATAATTTACGTAACAGAGTTATTAAAGCAACGAAAAAAACATGCAGCGGATTATCACAACTGCAAATGAAGATACAAAATTCGCTGAATCTATCAAGATCATCATCACATTTGATTTTTGACTCACTAAGCCTCTGAAAAATTGATAAGTTGGTTTTCTACAACACAAATTACGGGAAATTGATGATTTACATCGATCATGCAACCGCTGTGGTGAAGGGTTAATGTAAAACTGCGAGATACATAGCGAACATATTTCAAACAATTGAACACGCGTAGCATACATTTAGAGCGTAACTGAGCATTCGTGACATCTAACACTGTTCAGGCTGATTTCTAGGTTTGCGGGCGAAAACCGATAAGAAGCCTTGAAGTATGCTAACATTTTCATGAACTCTGGCGAGCCAGCTGCCACGCAGAATCGGGATTCGTGTTGAATGCCAGTAATGTAGTTATTACAACAAGAGATCGGCGTTGTTCAGTTGATATAAACAACCGACTGTCCATTCCATGCCTTCGTGGAAGATACGGTATGTAGTCACCATTCTCTCTATTCTTAACAATGCAACCGTTTCTCATTTTAGAAATACTTTCAAACTAACTGACTTAGTCAAGGGAAAAGCTATCTAAGCCAGTGACAACCGTTTGTAGGCAGGTTTAGGTTTCCGGGTAAAGCAATATTCACACAATCGACAGTTGAAGAATTGCACAAATTCGATAAGAATGCATCACTTACCGTACATTTTGCCTTCATCGGAGAGAATGATTTTTCGCCGGCCACAAGGCGGGTAAATAGCGAGTGCCTCCTGAAAGGATTGCTCGATATCTGGCGACCAAACTCCTTCGGCATCATTGGCCATGTCGACAGGGCTTTTGGTCGCACTGCCCTCGTCGGCCGAGTTGCCCATTTCGAGGTCCTCGTGGTCCGAAATCTTGGCGGTTTTGTGGGAAACAACACTAAAAATATGGCTTTTAACTGGAGGGAAGCTCCAACTACTGTTTATACTAGCCGTGTAGACTTCTTACTGTTGTCTTGATCAGTCGTTCCGGAAGCACAAGTCTGGAAAAATGAGAAAAATTCGAACGATTCTACAGGCCGATGTAACATTTGACGGGGAAAATCTATCAAACGAATTGAAATCCCTCATACTTTCGTGCAACGAACCTGACCTCACAGAAGTCTCCAAAAGACAAAAAGTATGATAGTCTGCTCGTCCCTCTAAAAATCACCTGGAATTAGCAAGTTGCCCTTTGCTTGAGTGAAAACGGAGGCCAACAAAGAATTTAAGGAATGACACAACTATGCTCGGCGCGCCCACAAAAGACTTGCGCTATTTCTCCCTAGAGGGGGTTTCATGACATTTCCTTTCGTCACCCGTCACCTCAAGAAGAATTCGAAGCTCGCTTGGTTCGATGCCCAAACACGGGGATAGAATTCTAGGAATGTTTTCTTTAACGCAAAGGTCTTCAAATCATACTTAATCTTATAAACTATTTTTTTCTTTGTGATTTTTGGAAAAGAGGATCAATTTATGGCTTACCGCGGTCACAATTTCGCAATTTAGCTTCTGATCAAATGCAGATTTCTCTGTAGGCCGCTGCTTGCGTTTGGTGGATACAGAATAATGAATCCACCACGTCATTCCACGCATATTTTAGAGAATACCGAGTTGTGATTGGCTCTCGCCAAACACACCCCGTTAAATTTGTCAAGGAGGCACGCGAGATTGTAATACACATGTTAAGTTCTTTATTTTAACTCAGAGAATGGTCTTTCCAGACAGTAGCTAGATTTAATTTGTCTTAAAACGACCACATCCTACCTGTACAGTTTAAATTATTCATTCTGCATGATAATGTGATTTTTATTTTTGCACACGAATTTGCTGGCATCCCGGTGCTTGAGCAGGCCAAGTTTTTCTGTCACGATGTTTAAAACAACGATAAATGTGTACGTATCTTCCAACATAAACGGCTGTTAAATTTTACCGGGATTAGCCATTTCGGGGTGGGAGAGAGACCTTAATTTATGATCACTGTTAGAAATTTTCGCTACGTCCATATGATCAGTGGTTTTATTGTAAATCAAGTAAGTGGCTAGTTAGACAAGGTGATTTCACATACTGTGAAGTTAAAAGAAACAGAGCTTTGACTTACTTTATTAACCAAAAAAAAAAATGATAAAAATTCTTTCTGCTCGAGTATTTCACAACCAGTGTCCACGGCAAAGTCCAAGATGACAGTTCACCTGCAGAACTCGTGGACAATTAGCAAACGCTTGAGTGATTCTAGTTAAGTTGTAATTATTCACCGAGTGAGAGGTTATTGTTTTCAAGCGTGATATTGAATTCGGTGCCTGTTTTGTTATTGAATTCCTTGGCTAAAATCTGAATATTGACTGATTACCAAGACAATTGAGCAAATTTTCAAAAAGAGTCCATTGCCGAACGGATGTGGTTATTAAATAAACAATTTGCGCAGTAAGGTAGTCAGGTTCAGTAAGTACTTTATTTAAAAGCGCCAGTGGAGAATAATGTAAGTAATCATATCCTCGCTATTCAAGTCTCCTTCCTCGGAAACAAATAAACCATTGAAATATTGAGCGCGCCTGTTGCAGTTAGGTGTTTCATGACGCAGTGGTAAGTTAGTGTCAAATCGGCCTGACTGTTATGATCAAGTCACGTCAACCTTTGATTAGATTTGATCAGTGATTGATGCCGCACGATCGGCAATTTGTAGCTACACTGGAATTTCAAACTTTCCAAGACTCGATTTTTCGAACCTCTCGATTCTAGGTGACAAAATTCGTTTTCATCCACTCAGTCCAACTCTAATTTTACCCACGATTTCTCAAATAACTACCCGATTTTTCAAACCAATTCTTGTTTCCCTTGGAGGTTCGAAAAATCGAAATTCCACTGTTCTTGTGTTATATCCGTTTGTTTGTTGCTTGTTTTTAAATTATCACAAACTGATGCCATTAGAAACTGACTTTTTTTTTTTTTATAGAGGACTGCTTTTGCTAACCCAGTGGCTGAATTGTCATTTGGCGGCGGTATAAGCCGCTGCAGTTTACTAGAAATCCTTACAGCCGGTTTAACTGAATGCTTTTCAAACTGAGAAGTTCTTTCATATAAGTAACATAAAAAAAGTGAAACAACCTACCGAGTGATATAAAATGTAACTGTGCTGATGTAGGCCTTTGCTCAATTGTCTCAACATAATTTTCGTCAGGCCAAACCGTAGTTGTTACATTTTGCCGGTTTTGGCGGCGGGTTCTCTCGACAGTCCCATTGATGTTATATAACTGCAGATCATACGTTTGACATAAGCTTACCCGATCACTCGTCGAAGATTTGTACTAAGAAAACAATTTGAACTCACCGGTTATGTTATTTTTCCACAGCCTCCTGAGCTGTATTGAAGAGTTCCTACTTTTGGCTTCACGGCCCGAGGAATTTTGGAGATGGTGGCTCTAAGAAAAGAGCTGACAACGGTTGACTCTTTATTGTATAACGACTATGTCATGATGAAGGTTCAAGAGGCCGCAGAAATGTCAACTTCTACTTAACAGGTTTTCACTGTCAGGTACTCAGACTGAGACATTAATCATCAATCGATCAGTGTAAAAATCAAAGAATTGTGTGTGAAGCAAATTCTACACGAATAAATGTCAAGCGAACATGACGGGTAATCAGTCTTCTTCAGTCAGTACAAAATGCGAACTGTTTCAAAACAAACATCCATGGCACGCGGTAGAACTTCAATCGTTTTGAAAACCTGTAACCTCAAATTTTAATTTATATACTGCAAGGAAAAAATTAACTTGTCGGACTTTTAACTACATTGCATTATTTTCTGGTACAGATTAATGTTAGGTTTATGATTTTATTTTATGATTTTATGATTTTATTTTATAATTCAGGGAATTGTTAATATAGCTTAACTCGGCATATAAGCTGTGTGCCGTACAAAAGTATACTTTAAATAAGCTATTTTGATTGTCGCTATGATTTGTTAAGTCAAGTGTATTTTTCATTGCTGTCGGAAATTTGTTCAGAAACGGTTCACGAGGGCCCAGCTTACAACGGATTGTTTCCTCTTTTCTTCCTGCGCTTCTTTTTAAATTTCTTCTATGTTTACGTATTTATCATACTCAATCTCTACGGAGCGATAAACGTCAGTGAATTCAGCAGCTAGCTGTCAGTGCTACGCGAGTTCGTACACTGATTTTCTGTCTTTTCTCGCTCTTTTAATGTAGCACGGAGTGTCGTGTTTTCGAGGATTCATTAAGAGAGTGTCAATTTTGACTGAGTATGTTAGTGAGGCCGAAAGTTAGTCACGGTATTGTTACAAAACGCTTTAAAATGGAATTAAACACTATTCCAAACGAGAGGAAAACAAAGGAAGTACTTTACAGCTATAGTGGAGAATGGAAGATCAAACGGAACGGCGAAGAATTTTTAAATTAATAGCCGGATTTTTAAAAAAAACTTAAAAGGCGACCTTTACTGTTCGATTGAGAGGCTTCTCAAGCCGATATGTAAGTCTGTAATACTTAGAAATCTTCTTTGTTTAAACATGTATCTAGAATTTTTTTCTCTTTTTGCTGTAAATAACTGAAGAGCTTAATTGCATTTTAGGTCCAATAGATATTTCAGTGTGACTTTTAAATCTGATATAAAGCTTTGGAATAGTTCTGCTGTATGCAGATGGTGCTCTTTTGACTCGCATTTCATTTATTCCAATTTTGAACTTGGCCTAATTGCAGAAGTACAAGGGTTGAACCCAGAAATCTCTTAAAATAGCTGGCATTGTCGTGACCGGCTCTGGAAATAAAAAGACTGAACTGAAAAAAACAGCTCGACGCATCTTTATTTGGAAGAAATCGATTCTAGCTAACACTGGTCACACACAAAAATCTCTCAGTTGGAAGAAAATATGTGGCTATAATTAGATTCTTTGAATACTATAAGCTGATAACAGCAGCTCAGCTGTGTTTGCTTAGTTATGCCTGTTATGCCAAAAATGTTTTCTGATCAGATTACTTTGTGGGTCATGAACTAGAACTCTAATATTACAATTCCATCTCGTTTCCTCCTCTGAATTCCTCGAGCTAAATAAGGTCAAAGCGAAAAAATGTAAACATGTGATCCGACACGCTCTCTTTTGAAAAGGAGGACTGAATTTTCTAGTAAAACGTACGTCTACATGCAATAATATGGAAGATTGAGGATAGGAGCTGACTTACCCACGAGTACTTCAGTAAATGACGTAAAAGCTAAGAACGTATTACCTATTAATCCTTTTGTGTTACAATTTCCACTTAACACAGCCACGAAACAAGGCTGAGGATCAAGGCTACACAGACATGGACGTAGAAAAAGAGAAGTAAAAATCAGTGGTGAATTCTTGCTGAAATCAAAATGCGCCATTTTCCATCATTGAAATTGGGGAAAGGGGGATGATCCCCAGTAACAGTTCTCAGAGAGTTGAATGGGTGGTTTTTCATTTCAAACGTCTCTTCACATGTCAAGAGCATACAACGTCTTCAATAAAATAGCAATATGTGCTCATGTACATGCCAATCTCTACGTTAAAGGCTCGATCCTCCTGATGCAAAGCTTGGCCATGCAAGACTCGTACAAAGACTTTGTGAGAATAATTAATGTACACCACATGGATTTCATGTGATATGTGTTAGCTGGGTTTAAGACATGTAGCAATTTTCCTGGTAGTTTATGTGGTTTATTTGGGCTGTGGAGAGATAGGACCGAACACATCGCCGAACCACTGCTGCTTATGACTGCAGCTGAAAAACTAATTCAGTTCAGAAAACGTCAGAAATGTGTAAAATGAGAGACTGTGTTGCAAAAATAACTTCATTCATAAATGGGCTTACTACTTGAAATTTTTCAGGTAGAGTTTAATGATAGTTAAATTTTATTTGTGTGTGTTGTTTTTTGGTGTATGTGTTTGTACTGCTCAGTGTGTTGTAAGCTTCATAACGAAGTTTTGAAAGTTGCCTGAATAACTGAGGGCGATCTTTCGTTACCACAAAACGGGGCAGACAATGTCTTAGTATGTATAGATCGTGACCTTCTTTGTGATTCACAGTCCTCAATTATATTTCCGAATGTCCCTGCAAAACAAGATTGTTGTTTCTTAGACGGATGAGAGGAAAATTTATCTTTAGTTACAGTTGAAAACGTTTCCAGTATTCCACGATGAACTTAACCTGATTGCTCAGCTTTTACTCCTTTAGACTTTTCCTCACGGAGGAAAACAAGAGTCACGAGGTAACTTGCGCAATGGCAAATTCAACCGTCGTGGTTAAAATTCTTTTACTCTGCTAGAGTTTGCGTGCGATCCACGCCAGCCACGAGGGATAATTTCACCATTCGATTCTCTTTACTTTAAAAGAAGAAAGAAAACGTTCAGGATCAGGTTATAAATCCTCAGCCAGCCATGGTTATAAGTGTATGCCTCAAATGTTCTCCAACCTTAGCCCAGGCGTTCTCTCGTGGTTGCATGCTTTTCAAGATGGCTGGCCAGCAACCCCGGCCCCACTAGCACTTAGCCTTTCCTTCAAGCGAACATAAACGCACATGTATGAGCTATCCCGCCCATGCACATGATGAGGTGTACAGTGGTGGCGCAAATGTACGCTTTCTATGCATCCTATTTGAGAGCTTGCAAAGTTTGCAAGTTTCTCGTACAGGGGAATCCTTGTTTTACCATATTTGTCTCATTAGCATAAGCGATTCAGTTTCTGATCAAACTACAAAGATATCAGTTTTGAATATTGAAAGGACGGCACAGCACGATTTTATAAAAGGTCCCAAGGAATATTCGAGCCCGATGTATCGATACTTTAAATGTAAAGTGGATTTAAAAACTAAACTTTTTTTTCAAAGAATATATAAGCTCATTAGCAGCTTTTACCTCTCAGAAATTTTACAGGTTTTGAAGCCATTTTCGCTTTTAATATTATACTCACAGAGCTGAACATTTCATCAATTATTAAGTTTAACACGCAACGTGTGAAGCCAATTCTGCCTTCTCTGCGGAGGTCGCGGGTTATTGCGGAAAATGTAAACAATGACGTCAGCAACCACAGGTCCATTGAAATATAAAGAGGAGATATGAGTTTTTGAAGATATAAAACGATGACACTTCCTCTCTGGCATTAGGCCATTGGCATAGCGAGCGGAAATCCTTGACATCTACGTTCTTTCGCTCACCGCGCTCTCTAACAGTTGGAAAGGGAGCGTGCTTTCAGCAGCATTTTCGTAATTATTTTTTGATTCGCCATGTTATTTGTCTCATAATGTTGAGATCATTACTTCATTAGAGGCGACATCAGTGAGATCTGAGATAAACTGTGCATGTAATCTAACGAGTGTCAAATGTGAACTGATACGATAAAACTCCACTGTTTGTATCACTCTCCAACCAAATTTTTGTTATGTTAGGCCAATGCTGACGTCAACCTGACGTGTAGGCGTGCTTCTGACGTTCACGAGAGAACAGCTTCATGCAGCTTCAATTCTTGCATCGTAGCTCGAGTTGTTTTATATTTTGCGACATTTTGTCCTGTTCATCGACACTCATCTCCATTTCCCGTAATGAAGACATCTTGGATTTGAACGGAGAAATTCCTTATTGATGACATCATAGAAATCCATTTCTCTTATTGGTTACGGCTTGTGCGTGGCATTTTTAACTGCGCAGCAGCAGGAGCCCAGCAGTAAAGGTTGAGTCTGCGTCAGCCCAGTGGACTCTGTAAAATATGGATGCGGACGGCGGATGGCGGATGGCGGACCATGGACGGCGGACGATGAAAAAACAATATTAAGAAAATAATAAAAATAATTATCAAAAATGACATTTTTTTAACTTTCTTAATCCGATCTGTTACCTTTGTAACTGAATTTTCGGTGACCTCTGTTCACCTTCATCAGAGTTCATCAATGCAATATCAAAGTTCGTTATTGCTCGCGCTACAGCCCCGCGCTTGCTGTCGTTTTATTTAACAAATAAAGAAACCTAAGCCGTGATTTAAACTGTGATAAAACACGACGGACATTTCTACATTTCTCGAGTGTTCTCAAATGTCCGGTGTAATACAAGGCTTAGTGTAATACAAGGCTTAGGCTTCTTCATTTGCTTTATGATATAGAGGTAATGTGCGAAAAACAATAAAGCACGCTTTTTCTATATTTTATACTCTGATAAAACATGGGATTTTGACCAATCAGAGCGCGTGCGGGGTCCTATCTATATTATGATGATTTTTAAATCAACGGTAAGTAAACCCGAGGGAACGGTTTCCTCTTGTTGATGGCAGCGCTGTCCAAAGTTGAGAGTCCTCTTGTGGTAGTTGTTAACACCACGTTCGAGGATCTAGGAGTCTCCTGGGTGAATGTTCTGATCCGTGGACTCAGCATGCTGTTTAATTGCTGACTCCATGTTGCTCGCGCGGCCTGGATCATGCTCGGTGTGCCCGTTTTACTGTTTTAGAGTTAGTACCTCTTAGGGGTGGAAAACATTTCAAGCTATGCCAACAAAACAGG